TTTCTGAGTGAAATGCAAGATTATACCAGGATAAGATGAGTGCTAAAATATTGGCGAAATAGCTTGATCTTAGCATGCGGGTAGTCCACTTTGGTAGGATAGAAACATCTTAACGACTACTTGGCAAAATGATCCTTGGATCATACCCTACATAGCCATGTACCTCACTCTTACGCTTCCAGATTTCCAGATCTGATGGATCGCTCTACCACCTATCAAAATTAATCATATTTTCTGCCATTGAATCAAAGGCTGCTTGTTAAACACAAAGCATAAAGACTGATTTACTCAATACTTCAATTATTTATCAAATATCATACATCAAAACTTATCATCCTGGTGTGTAACTCTTAATTCAATCCTCATCCTCAAATTCATATCAATTATAGTAAAACAAATTATTATTCAGTTAGTTTTAGAGCATTGCCACATTGGGCTATCTGTTGAGTCTACAGCATGGAATCGAACGCCGAATTCTAGCATTGTACGTTGATAAACTTACCGCTGTCCCACCGGGAAACATTATCCATTATTCATCAGATTGCTCTACACATTTTAATTATGAGAATATTATATTTTTACTACTTACGGTTTAATTTTATATTTTCCTTTCCATATTGCGTTGGCACGGCATGGCCAGGTGGTTAGGGCGCTCGATTTGCAATCTGAGGGCCACGGGTTCGAATCCCCATCCCACCAAACATGCTCGCCCTTTCAGCCATGGGGTCGTTATAACGTGACGGTCAATCCCACTATTCGTTGGTAAAACAGTACCCCAAGAGTTGGCGGTGGGCGGTGATGACCAGCTGCCTTTCCTCTAGTCTTACACTGCTAAATTAGGGACGGCTAGCGCAAATAAAGATATTACATTAATACTTTGTGTTGATAATGTGTTCAATTTATATTATTTACGATGATTATGAGCCTACAGCTGCGACCAGTTATAGTATAAAATATACACTGCAAGTTTGAATATAAAATATACACTGTTTGAATTAGCGCAAGGTAAGATTGAAGAAAGAAAAAGTGTCGAAAACGTACAAACAAGTCTACTCGCGCAAAGATACACAGTGTTTGTCTGCGCTAGCCATGTACACTTTTGAACTGATAGACTACAGGAAAGATGCAAGTAAACATCCCCAACCAACAACTCTTGCGTTGCTATAATTGACCAGTGGAACTTGATTGTCACTATTATAACGCACCCATTGTCACAAAATACGTAATACGATTTTAGAGCAACGGGACGTAAATCGTGAACCTCCGCATCCACAGTCCGCTAGTTAATCACTAGACCACAAAGAATAAGAGCTGCTTTCATCACCAGTTATCTGAATGTAAGATTTCAAGCTAATCTATAGGATATTATGATTCTTTACTTTGTTATATACATGTTATATTTCCATATTTACTACGAAAATCATTTAAAAATAATTAGATATTTATTTGTGCGGATGATAACTTAAACACCAGAATAATGTTGAAAGATTGACATTATTTTTTTGTCCTTTTTTTTTTCAAATAGATGTTAATAGATTTTCAATAAGATTATTTTTCTAAAAGACCATGCAAAATGGGAGGATGGGAGTGTGGTGAAACCGCAGAAGATTGCAAACGAATTATGTTTGCGTGCTGGTTTTGCTTAATTAAAATTGTGAAATAATATTATACTGTGAAAACTGCATAAGAACAACTGGAATAGGCGTAACACAAACCGATGAGCCTAAGAAAACGAAAGTGGTTACCAGGAAACTTCCCATTGCCGATTTCTGACACCGAATATGTGTCGAAGGTGTCATTAATAAAAGCTTTGTAGTTATATCTGTTTTAATAAAATTAAAATTGTTCCTCTAGAATGGCAGAACTAACTAAAAAATGTTATATAAGAGCTAAATATTTTCCTCGCCATTTAGAGCTATAAAAAGATTAAATTATTTCCTAAATGTCATTTATGTTATTTTAAAATGTGGAACGGAACATCCGTACGTTTTTCAAAGTATAAAACACTTATCAATTGAAATCTCGACTATTAACAATTCCACAACATTTTCTAAGTATTAAGGATAATACTCAGAATGCCTTTAGAAAGGGTGTTATGATATCGCTTGCTTTTAAGAATATTCTTTGCTGTTTAGTTAATGCCTGATTTCGACAAAACAAATGAAACAGAGAAATCCGAAAAAAAAACAAGGTAGGATTTTCATTACAACCAAAAACAAGTGCACTGACAACTCTGTTTATAACAAACTTCCAACTCTTGAATTCGTATTTCTATTTATTTGTTGAGCAAGAAAAGTGATGGGTCAAGCAAGAACGGGGAAAATTTAAGTAAAAAGAAATAGTCGCATAGAAACAACCGCCCTGGTTTACTTTTTTATCGGAAGCCCAAATATCAGCAGATAAATTTCACCTACCACACCCTTAATTTCAAGCCGACCTCTGTTTACGTGTTTTTACTCCTAATTGACATTGCGCAGCGAAACTGTGCCAAATCTCGTTCATGTTCTCAGGAAGCGCATGTTTAATACTGGGTGCCACGCGACTGCAACTCGACTTTTCAGGTTTAATTTAAGAGAAACGTAAGTTAGGAAATTGCAAATTAACGAGTTTTGATTATACATTGTATTTTTACGTTTAACGTTAGATCATCACGTTAAACGTAAAAAATACTATGTATAAACGTTAGATCATCACGTTGCCTGAAAATGGTCAATGTTTAGATCGCCTCATTGTTTTATTTATATAAAAAATTCACAAAATCTGTATTCATAATTCATATACAAAAATTAGCACAGTTATAAATATTCGTATATCCTTGCATGCAAAGCATATACCCGACTGCTTGAAAAAAGTTAAAATAACATGTTGTTGCGTCAGCAAGATCACGTGACTATTGCCACGCCACCTGCTTTCTAGAACTATCCCGTTCCTTCGGGAGTGCTCTAGCATTTACTAGATTGGGGGGTGGTCTGGTATATATAAGAGGGTGACAACGTGACGGAATAATGCGTGTGTAGACAGTGAGTAACTGATCTGCAGTCAAGGAGTATTATTGAGCAGGTTCGTTGTTATAGCGTTTGTTTTAGCGCGATTGTTGAAATTAAGTGTATCGTAAAGTTATATCCGGAAAGAATAAACCAGTTTTATTAAGTAAGGACTTGTGTCGCTAAAGTTTCGTCGGAACGAAGTTACGGAAAGTTAATTAACAAACGGAGACGTAACAAATTGGTGTCAGAAGTGGGGTAGAAAAAAAAAAGAGAAGAAAATGGAAACGAGAGGCGGAAAATCAAACTACAGCTTAGCAGACTTGATGGCAGCAATACAAAAACAAGAAAAGAAACAAAAAGAGCGAGAAGAGAAATTACAACAGTTGTTAGAGGAAAAAGAAAAGAAACAAGAAGAACTTGTTTCTTTTCTTTTTCCTCTAACAACTGTTGTAATTTCTCTTCTCGAAGAACGAGAAAAT